GACTTATGTGGAATGCTGCCTCAAATTTTAATTTTACTTTTAGTTATTGGGTTAATTCTTCATATCTCAACCTCAATCGAGAGTATACATATACATAAAAGAGCAATTTGTAATTATCTAGTGCTGGAAGCTGTTAGCAGACCAAGGACAAATTGATATCTGTTCTATAAGTGCAAGGAACATGGAATATAACCAAGAAATGCAAAATTTGTCTCAAGGCTGCCAAAAGCAAACTGATAACAGAGGACTTTTAAGAAAGACCAGACAGTTGGTGTATCTCTAGATTTCTCACTCAGGAAAAGAAATGTATTGTGTTTTACAAAACATGTGACTTTATCTATAGAGACATGCATCATGCTTTCTGAAATGGATTATCACAAAGAGCTGCAATAAAAATATTAAAATTATCAAACATGTGCATCAACACTTGAAAATATGCCATGTAAGAGTTATAGAAAGTCGTAAATACCAAGTGACAATGCCTAATTATAGAATGCCACTCACAGGAGCTCGAATTTTCTCTTCTGAGTTTTCTGTATTTTCAGGAGTTGAAAGCACGCATACATCAACGCCAGGCCGCAAAAAGCAGGTGCAGTCATATGAATTTGCCTGTCTTGACCTCACTCGAATGTTCGGGAATGGGCCTTTATTTTGAATGACACATGAATGATTGTCTGCGAAATTTATCGTCATGGTTCCACTCCTGATGCCTAGAAGCTCCACAGGATGCCATGAGCCGCAGCAAAGAGCCTCAAAAGCTGTCAAGCCAAAATTAGTAGAATGATATTGATAAGAATTTAATGAGTGAAAACGAAAAATATTGGCCATTTGATAACAACAACAAATAAAATTCTATTGAGCTTCTGTGCAAGACAGGAATTAAAACAATCCCTTTTCTCCGCTAGTCAAATAATAGCACTAAAAGTGGCAGCTGCATTTCAACAATGTATAAAATAAGGAGTTCAAGAATGAAAAATTCCTATATTTGCTACCAATTAATGAAAGACGAATGCTTGGGACAGTCGCGCTCGCACTAAAAAGTGGTGTTACCACGTCTACATGACACGTGATGTTACCGCCGCACAAAAAAGTTAACTTCAACTTGTGGATTCAAGTTTACAAGTGTTACAAGAAAGCAAGACTTTGAACAGAGAAGCCATTTACTTGAAATAAATTACACAGTTCATTTTCCAAAATGAAAAGTAAGAGAACATAAAAGGGAGGAGGCAAATTCTTACGATAAGCATCAAATGGATGGGTAGATCGGTACAGATGTCTCTTCCTCTTCATCTTGATTAGCCAACTGGTACCCGAATTTGTCCTACGCCCTCCCTAAAATCACTGTCAAATATCTGCAACAAAAACAAAAAAAGCACTGCCGTTAGACACATTTCAAACTGGAACACACGAAAGCTAAATGCAATATTGCCACCAAACCCTAATCACATATACACAAGAAAAACGAAAAGTAAAATATTATCAAACACCTGTGGTCACTTGTTTTCTTTTCTTACTTTACTCCACAAAGACTCAAACCTAGCTTAGATTTTTCTACCTCTTTTCACCGATCATATATGTCTATGCCATTTGCGGCTCTGCCACTTGAGCTAATAGCTCATGTTGGCTTAACACCTGTCGCTATTCTGCTTACATATCGGACTCACAGTTACACTACCATATATATATATATATATATATATATACATATATTATTATTATATAATCATAATATGGTAATAATTACATATTAGGAACACAAAAGTAAATGCACTACCAAAAAGTAACATCATGGACCCAACATTTACACCATCAAAACAAGAAATAACACAAACAAATCAAAACAATAAATAAATAAATAAATGATCTTTTCCCTTTTTTCTTCTGCCAAACGTTAGAAAACCGAGAGTCTGTAGTAATACCCAAAAGCCATAAGCTGGAAAAAATTCTCAATCAATTCCTTGTTTAGGAAAATGTAAATAAATAAATGAATGAGGATGGAAAAAGGGAAAGGAATCTGCAACACATCAATTCCTTGTTAGCCAAAAGCATCATTCATATTATTGGAGAGAGAGAGAGAGAGAGAGAGAGAGAGAGAGAGAGAGAAATGGTTATCCTTGAGATGCGTTACATATCAGAAGAAGAGACATTAACATTTTATTTATTTATTGGTCGAATTTAGAAAATATTATTCCTACATCTGCAATTCAACATGCGAAGGAAGATTTAAAAAAATAAAAATAAAAACGTTCCTTCATATGGTAAACAATCCCATCAATGCATGCCGTACCAAAATCACCCGAAATGCCCAAACAGCAACCACAACAGCAAAAGTAAGAAAGATAGAAAAGAAACAATTACCAAAATGAAACAACAATAATATAATCAAAACTTTTAAGGTTAAACCAAACAAACCCAATTTAGCTGCTCACTGTTGGAACAACTTGTAGCCAAAACTTCAGCAAGAAAGCAAATTGAGCTGAAACTAGAGCTTCTGAAGAGATGGGTGGTCGGAGAAGCTCAGATTCCGGCTAAGCTTTTTGCTCTTGGGCCGATAAAGATAGCTGCAAAGGCCAAATAAATGGTGAAGCTTGAAATATGTAGTAGTGGGCATTGAAGTGAGTGTTGTGAAAAAAGAGAGAGAGAGAGAGAGAGAGAGAGATAGAATCTGAGAGTGCGTCAGTGGAAAGTGACAGAGGGAGCAGAGAAATCTATAAGGTTCTGAAACGAAATCCTCGAAATTTGTGCGCTTTTTGCATGAAACGCAAAACAGAGAGGCAGTCGCGGCAAAGGGGCAGCGGGTGTAAATAGTTGGGGATGGGGAGGGTGGAATTGGAGAAGCTTGGAGTGGATCAACGGCTGTGATTGATGGTTAGGGGTTGTTGGGTGGGGGCCACCACTGGTGATGAAATTGATGATCTGAATTTTGAGGCAGAGTGATGGCAAGCAATAAGCTCGTGTGAGTTTGTTGGGAGATGAGCTCATTGCTCAGCAGAAAAAAACGTAAAAAGCAGAGTGGTTCTCGATTGTGGAAGCGAAGCGCATTTAGTCAAACACTTTTGTCTGGTAGTTGACCCTTTCTTGCTCTTCCCTCAGCCGAAAGCCACGGATTCCGCATTATAGCTTATGAAAAGTTGATTGACCAAAAAGATACAAATTTTTTAAAAGAGGTCCTAAAAGCCCGGCCCAAACCAAAACAGCAATTCTAGAATAAACGGCAATAAATAATTAATAAATAAACTTAATTTCTAAGATAATAAATAAATCATGCATATCCCTAAACCTATATGACCACATTGTGTACTTTCCCAACACATAATTTGTTAATACTAATTTCAAAAACATTGTTCGCAAACGCCTCCTCCGTCCATCCGGAACATGAGCTACGTCTTAGATATAGGGCTTTTACGTTATTTCCTCTTCCTCGTTACTTTCAATTTAATTTCCCCCAAGTTAAACTCAAATCTTAAACCCCTAAATGTACTTGTTTCTCTCTTATCCACTAATATTGTTCTTCAGCCTCCGCTTCTCACTTTTACACTCCCCTTCCTCGGTGGCACAATCTTGTGTGGGGAGCCTTTTAAGTGCAGTGTGCACTCTTTGCTTGGATTATCCGGGGTGGCTTGTTCACCCCTATTATTTGTTCGAGGTTTTGGTTCATCTTGGTACCAAACACCCCTCCTTTGTGGTTGTGGACTTGCTGTCCATTTTTCATATCTAAGGTTTTCTATTTTGCTAGATCATTGTCAAATTTTGATTTTGATTTTTATAAAAATTTTAATGTTGAGCCTCTGTACTTTGCTTGTTTATGTTGGGCTGCCTATGCTATTAGGCCTTTCACTTCTCGTAGTATTGCTTCATTCTCTTTGAATAGAGTTATTTGACAACAACAACAAAAACGACAATAATAATGATAATTACAAATTAATAACTTACTGACATGGTTATGACACGATGATGAGTATTGTTATACTCATGGTCACCAATTTTGTTCATTGAGTGTTTTGTTAATTGAGTGTTAAACAATCTTTATAGGGTAAATTTGCATTCTCTTCCAACGGTCTCCTTATCATTATCTTTTATATCAAAGAAAATGTTTATTTACAGATTATTGATTTTGATCGTTGAGATTTCTGGAGGCTTTTCCTCGTCATCTTCAATACGTTTGAATACAAATTCTAAAGTGTTCATCAATTCCACCGTATGAACTTCTATAAATCATGCTCGATTTTCCTATCATATTTTTCATTAGCTTCAACTTCCAGTACAAAGGGATTTGTGCCTACCCTAGAAGGCTGGGGAGAGCTTGGGCTTTGCTGGTGAGGAGCTTGGGGAAAGGGTTTTGAATGGGCCAGGGCTGATGGGACCAAAGATTTTACATGCAATCAAGAGAGGGTTGAGAGAGAAGGGGTAGGGGTCAATGCCTCTTACGCTCCATATACAACAGCCGCCACGCCAACAGACATATAGCACATTGTAAACCAACCACAGAATACTTAACCGCGGCACGATAATTTGCAAATCAAGGGATGTCATGAAGTTGAGGGGAACAAAAGCAATTGACAATCGGAAAACAAAAACAAGAAAAGCAAACAGAAAAGAGAAGCAGAAAACAAGTAGCAGCCACAGAAGTCTCAAAAGCACAAGCTGTTGTATTTGCATTTCCTTACTTACACACGGACACTGAAATTCAAGATACTATATTTCAACTGTACTTCATTTCTCATATCTACAATAAAAGAATTTGTTAATTTAGTAAGTAATATAGAATTATCAAGAAGCATAAAAGTTGGCTGTCAACCCACCACCCTGTTGAACACAAAATGACCAGACATGACAAGGGAAAATTGTCTTCGCTGCCAAATTCTCCAATCTAAAACCTATAGAGAACTAGCACATTCATGGGGTCCGCTCCAAAATTAAAAGGTAAGAAGCAAGAGGAAACAACCACATTGATGTTCTTCAAACTACACTCCACTAGACCCCCTTTCGAAATTTAGCCTTCACATATCCATCGAAAAGTTATAACTTCCGTCTTCCGGTTGCATTGTTCCTCCAGTGAAATCTCCCAAGCCTAGGTCAGACAATCCCAGATTGTAGTATCCTTGATCATCTTCGCCAGTAACACCATCCCTCTTCAAGAAATCAAAATTGTATTCGCCACCCGAAGGGCCCTGCTCCATGTGGTTGAGACTCCCAAGCAGCTTGGCATCTGGAAACTGCAGCTGGTACGACAAGTTCGATGGCCTATCACACCCATAAGGGTGCATGCCCGAGCACCCAGGCTGACCAACATCAGATCCTAGACCTTGTTCTGGCTCAGGATTTCGAACGGGAGTATCGTCTAAAGGATTCAATAGCTCATCCACATCAAACACCTCCTCCTCTGTAAAGTTCTCCAAATAATCCCCAGTATACGGTCCACCAGCCCAATTAAAATCCCCAACATATGCTTCTGGTTTGACGGCCGGTTGATCATTGTGAAAGTAACCCTGAGTAAACTCATCCCTTGTTTCTTCCTTCACCAGGGCTTGATTGAGTGCATTGGACCAATCATGAATTGCCGATTCGCCTTCACCATTCTCAGTTTTCACATCAAGGAAACCCTTGGAATCCTCATCTGCACAAACCTCAGAGTGATTTGATGATGTAGTGGATCCAGAGCATCCTGGAGTTGCCACTGCAGAAGACCCTGATGGAGTTGTGGCCGAGGAAGTCTCCTGTGAAGATTCCTTCCAAGAAGGATAATTTGCCACATTCGGGAGGTTGAGGCGAGCAGCTGGACCATACATAGCCTTGGCAGCTTCATCGTAGGCAAGAGCAGCATCAAGGGCAGTTGGAAAAGTTCCTAACCAGAGTCTGCTTCCCCTGTTGGGCTCTCGAATTTCCGCAACCCACTTGCCCCATGTCCTCTGCCTCACACCTCTGTAATTGCAGCGCGAATTATCGGGCCCTCCCTTGCCTTTCATACAACCTTTCTTTGATCCCTTGGCCGGGACTTTACGTGTTTTCCCCTCGTTATTGTCAGATTCCAGTTGTTTGTTATATTCCTTCCACTTTTCTAGTGTCTCTGCCACAGAGGTTCCATCCCGCCTACTCCGTGTCTTCCTCTTCCTTGTAGAATCCAAGGTCAGAGCAACCTCGTTAGAACCTTGATCATAAGCTCCCATTCCTTGTAATTTACTCAGAGACTGATTGATAGTTTTCTCAACAATCTGCATTCAAATATAGAAGCAATTCTTATTAGGAACTGCAATAGAGCACAGAGAAAATTTTCTAAACTACAGAAGAAAAAACAAACCGCCTGGAGCTTTTATATAGCAGGGGGCACACTCAAATAAATCTAAAAAATTTGAAAAAGGACTCGGAGCTTCCTTCGGGCCCAAGTATTCCTTAAACAAATCAGCTAAAAAGACTAGTAAAAGGTTTTACTTGCCACCAAAGAAACGGAATTCAATATTTCAGGAAAGAAGTAAGGGAATAAAAAGGTACGCGTCAAGGAAAAATACCCATTACCAAGAAAACACCCCATTTTTAGCGAATAGAAAATGCCCAAATTCCTTCAAATAAGAAACAAAAAAAGGGAAACCCTAGTTTCTGAAAACTCAAATACTGAAAAACCCAGAAAGACCCAGATTTCAGTTTCCCGAACCCCAAACAAACAAGAATTGGTAACAAAGAAAGAGACACTCTGACTCTTTCCCCGAAAAAAAAAATCTAAGAAAATATATCAGAAAGGCAACAAACAATGAAATGAAGAAAAAAGGAAACAAAAACAAAAGGCTAAGAGAAACAAAATTCAACCAACCTCAGAATCGTTTGGCTCGATAAGTCGGGCTGGGAGAAACTTCTTAGATTGATATCGTAGCCTTGCCCCTTTCCAATCGAAACGACACTTTCAGACGCGTTTTAGCGTTTTTCTCCTGGTTGTTGCGTGTGCTTTGAATGATTTGCTCTGCTCAGAGCGTTCTTCAGAGAGAGTATTTACTTTGTAAGCTTGAAGCTAAGCGAATCCAGAAATCTTTAGGTTAGCAAGCTGTGACAGATATTTATAGCCTTCTCTAGATATTTCCGATATTTACTTGAGCAATGACGTGGTGATTTTCTAGTCGCGTCGTGGCGTTTCGATTAATGAGGCTTCCAGCACGTGTCACCCGAACCTTCGCGAATCAAGCGAGTAAATCGTCGCTTTCTTGCTCCCGAAGTACTTTCTCGTTTTGTCCCTCCTTTTCTCTTCCCACTTTATCCTGGATGAATCTGGAAATTGCGATCGTACCACTTGACTGCTAATGCGTCATTGCTGTGTGCTTCTTCTTATCCTTTTGGGAATTTATCAAATATATAACTCCAATTGGGTGTTAATTTGATTAAATTATGTCTTTGGTGTGCTTTCAAGTTTCAAGTCTTTGGTGTTAATTTGATTGAATTTCCCCCCTTCCCCTCTCCTTTCTTAAAGACTTGGGCATAATATAAATTTCTACCTGTAGAAAAATATAAATTATTATATAGTGTAATGTGATCACATTGCATAGGTATATGAATATCAATAAATTATTAAATCATATCACATCTTACGTCGAAAATTTGACAAAATAAATACAACATATAATGAATTGTTCTATTACTAATAACACTTAGGTATTTTGTATAAAACCTCTTAGAATTTAGGACAATATCGATGTTAGTAGTAGTGGACAATATCGATGTTTGTCCTTTTAAAATTATTATTTTTATTATTTTTATTATCAAACCCTGAAATATTAATATGGTATCAGAGGATGCTAGTTGGTTTTGATAGCCAGAATTAGAGCATGCTAGTTTACTTAGCCCAATTGAACTTGAATCAGACAAAACCCGAGTTGAAAATAAATAAATAAACTCAAAATTTAAATCCCGAATTATAAAAAATGAAAAAATAAAAAATATATTGGTGTAGAATTGGTTGTATGTGTAGCCTACTTAAGAGTAGTTCTACGGGAGGTGTGGAAAAAAGTTCCACATCAGAAACTTGACAAAATAAAATACAACATACATATGTCTATATATATGGTTAAGTTAAAGATAATATCGATATTGATAGTGATAAGTTGTCGATCGGTCTTTCTAAAATTTCAACATAAATATCCAAACTACAATTATTTATGCATAAAGAAAACATTGCGTCAATATAGATTTATTGGATTATAGTCATCCTAAATCAACGGCATGGTTTATCTTATTAGCTATGAATCTACATTGACACCAAATTAGACGTTTAAATATGATATAAAACTCAAAGTTATTAATATAATTTTATTAGGAAGCTCTTATTAGAATAAAAAAAAAATTATATTGCATTTGAAATTTTGCCTTATAGCATCCGTAATAGTTGTTCAATAGTTCAATGCAATGCAAATTGAACTATTTTGGCATTTTTTCAAATGAACTTCAGTTTTACTTGCAATGGTACAATTCAATACCTTCATATCAATAGTTATATCTTCTTACATACTCAAATAAAATAAAATAAATAAAATTAATAACACTAAAAATCAAACCATTGAAATATTCTTAAAGAAATCTTTAAAAATGTACCAATTTTGAATATATTTGAAGAAAAAATTTAATTTCATGCCATACTTGTATATTTTGATTATTTTAAAAAATATAGGTAAAAAAAGGTTCAAGTATGCATGCTACACATGCATTAATTGCTGTATTTTTTTAAAATATATTTTTTATTGGCATGTCTCATAGTTAGTCTATTTCAATTCAATAGAGGGTTCATCGCATAGCACCCTCTATTGCAATTTGCAATGAACTAAATCACACAATTACAAGTGAGATTTTATTATTTTAGTTCAATTACATGCAATAAAATTGCATTGATGCTAACCATTGCATATACTCTTATGTTGTTATAACAAAGCAAAATTTATTAATAAGAAAATAACGTAATATATAAATTAAGGAGTCATTACCCGTTACTTAACAATAACAATGTTATACATATTTTTATTTTATATACAAAATGATAATTAAAATTACTCACATAAAAGATAATTCGAACTAGAGTGCAAATAGACGAACATATCTACAATTGTGGGCATACTAATGTAGATCTTTAACATCCCAAAAAAGATATTTTACATATCTAACTATATCTTGTAATTCCGTATAAAAAAATTAATTAAAAACTATAACTTGTACCACACAAGATAATATATGCAAAAAAGAGATTATCTAAAGCCCAACCAAACAATGAAAAGCAAAAACGAAGATAGGATAATAATGTCTCCCTTATTCGGTCAGGGAGGATTTTCGTGTCTTGCTCGTCGACACACCTGGTCTAGGCTTTGCATGTGCACCACGTGTCGCGGATTGGGTAGGACACGGTGGCAGTTTGTTTGAGGCCAAATGTCACGTCCTGAATGACGCGTTGAGTTTTATGTGGTCCAAAATGGAGAGAGCAATAAAAGCGATTGGGTTGGGTCATAGAATAGTGTTGGGGTGGAGGATGATCATTAAAGAAAGGAAAGCTGGAGTTTGTTTTTACGACAGCGATGAGTCCCACTCCGCGTATTTGCTGACGCAGTGGCTTTCTTTGGCTGCAGAATCAAAATACAATTTTTCCAACTTCCTTCAAGTCTTGATAACTTTATAGATATAATTCATATCCCTTCACATGGATTGTGGATAATTTGAACTTTGTTTTTGCCTGGTCAATTATAGCCTCTAATTCCACATGGTTTGCACTGCAGTGAAAAAAGTGAGGCGAACTCTTCCCCTCTTTCAAATGTACACGGATTCGATTTACGTAAAAGACAATCTTGAGGCAGGTCCCTCTCTAACCTTAATGAATGACAAAAAAAATAAAAACTTATAGCCTCTATTTTGTTCACAATCCTTTACAAACAAAAAACAAAAAAATAAAAGAGAGAAACTAGAATGAATTGAATTGAGTCAATTTGGGCTTTCTATTATGTGTAGATAATTTATTTGAGCTTTCTATTGAATGATAATTTCAAAACCAACCAAGGAACAAAACCCATAAAAGAAAAAACCTAATTTGTTTGCTCATTGATTAAATTGGAGAAGAAGGGATTCATATACAATACTTTAAATGTAAAGATAACTACTCTTAACTACTTGAGTTATGTATATTTTACAATTACGTTGATATATTGTTTCATAAAAAAAGGAGAAAGTCCTTGCATAAATGAACCTCCATATTTGTTGAAAGTCAAATAGTGGGTTGATGATAAATTAATAATAATAGGCTGATGCAAATAAAATTTACCCTCGCGGGAGTTGACCACTTTTCTTGCGGATGAAATTTGTCAATCTTTGGTCGTAAAATGATGACCATACCTTCTACAACGACTTTTACCGCGCGTCTGAACCCAAGGCCAAAGATCAACCCATTCCAATTCCAATTCACCTTTCGCCCCAAGGCCTCCCTACTCAACCGTCTAAGGGTGGTGGCCACAGCTACGGCGGTTGTGGTTGTCACATAACGACTTTTACCGCGCGTCTGAACCCAAGGCCAAAGACTCAACCGTCTAGGGGTGGCGGCCACAGCTACGGAGGTTGTGGTTGTCACATTGCTACCGCATTTCATTTTCAATATAGGGTTGGAATTACAATCAATCCTATGAATCTCTAAACATTAATTGGTATTCTGGCAATGTGATTAGATTGAAGATTAATAATATTTGCTCCAGTTGGGAGGTGTACAAACATCAAGAATGGAGGTGACATTAAGAATTACCAGCCCGTCCGCAGCTGCGGGATTGGTCCCTACAGCCATTTGTCGGCCACTAGAGTCCATCTCCTCCAAAGGCATTTGGTTACGAGATAACCCGTTAGATTATCCATTTCCATTAGTCATGGCCCAAGTCAGCCTTGTCCTTCTTACCTCTCGAGCGCTTTATTATCTTCTCAGGCCTTTGGGACAAACCAAATTTGTCTGCAATCTCCTGGTACATATTCATCTCCATGCTTCACATGTTTTAGATATTGTCCTCTGGTTTTAATCAGAGTGTTTAAGGTTGTTTGTCCCCCTATTGTTTATTTCATAATATTCTAGCAACTTTATTGAAATTTATTTATGTTTGTCACACTGTAATATTCTAGCTTTGATGGTTAATTGAAAACATTAAGGAGCAGCTTACTGGTTTTGTTTTGTACGTATTGATCATGTCTCAATTTGAAGCCTCCGTCTTTAATTTGCAGGGTGGGATTATCTTGGGGCCTTCTCTGATAGGGCACAAGAAGGTAATCAAGGAGAAGCTATTCAGAGACAAAGATGCTCACTTGTTTGAGACAATTTCTTTTCTGGGCGTATTATACTCCATGTTCTTAATTGCAGTTAAATTTGACACAAACATGTTGAGAAGGACAGCAAAGAATGCTTGGAAGATTGGTCTACTTGGGTTTCTTATTCCCTTAGCAGTATCCCTAGGCCTTGTTCATCCAATAGGCTCCACCCTTCCTGGTCTCGAAGGAGGAATGTTCGTCTACTTTTCTTTCTCTTCTTTCTCTTTCACCTTCTTCCCGGTCATAGCTCAGGCCTTGAATGAACTCAACCTCATGACTTCAGAACTAGGCCAGCTTGCCATGTCCTCTGCTCTGGTCACTGAAGCCATCCAATGGCTTTCCGCGGGGGTCCATATCGTTTTCACCCAAAAAAGTCCAATCCACGGAATTTTGGCTTTGGTCTCCTTATTTGCACTCACAGTTTTGATTTGCTTTATTGTAAGACCCCTTATTCTACTAATTATTAAAAACACACCACAAGGCAAGGAAGTGAAGGAGGTTTATGTGGTAGCAATACTTCTTGGGGTTTTAGTTTCTGCAGGTATTTCTGACACCTTGGGCTCAACTCCTTTGACCGGCCCTTTACTTTTGGGGTTGGTCATACCGGATGGACCGCCTCTTGGTGCCACATTGATACAGAAGACCGAGTTCCTGGTCTCCGAGCTTTTTCTTCCGGTCTTATTCTTTCGCGTTGGCTTCATGACCGATGTGTACTCGTTTCAGGACTGGGGAAGTCTTGGCAAGCTTCAGATGGTTATTTTGCTCGCATATGGAGCGAAGATTGTGACAGTTACAGTGGCTGCCATGTGTTGTAAGATTAGGTTCAAAAATAGTTTTTTGCTCAGCTTGATCATGAACATCAAGGGTATAGTAGACCTTGTCGTTTTTAGTCGATGGAGGTTCGCCAGGGTAATCAATCACAGTCTTCTCATCTCTTCTTTCCATTAAACTCTGAATTAATGTTTAATGTAAAAAATGAAAAAGAAAAAAAATGAAAAGAATCTTATCTGAACATGACAATCTAACTTCTTAAACATTATGTGCAGATGATAGACCAACAATCTTATACTCAAATCGTGTTGTCTATGCTGCTGGTGACATTGATCGAAACGCCGGTGGTTCGATTTTTGTACCAGCCTCAAACACGACTAGAGCCATCAAGCAAGCACTCAGGCACCAGAAACATCCAATCTCCTCGATACAACTCCGATTTCAGCATTCTGTGTTGTGTCCACAACGAGGAAAGTGTTCGCAACATCACCTCCCTGTTAGAATCCTCGAACCCAACAGAGCAGAGCCCTATTTTAGCTTATGTTGTCCGCGCAGTCGAGCTCGTTGGTCGAGCCGTGCCACTGCTCCTCCCATACAAGAAGAAGCAGCAGCAGGAGGGAGGGACGAAGAAACTAAAGCGCACAAACACACCAACCCATCAATTGATGCGAGCCTTCTGGAACTACTCTAAGAACTCAAAAGGGCCTGTTTCCATCCATGCCTTCACTATGATCGCCCCTTACAATTCAATGCATGAGACTGTTTGTCGTCTGGCGGAGGACAATAACATTCCTCTGATTCTCTTACCATTCCATGAAAACAACCAGTACACAGTTGGCGCAAATGTCATGGCGGGGATCCGCCAGTTCAACGTCAATGTACAAACATATTCCCCTTGTACAGTTGGAATACTAGTTGAGAGAGGGTTGCCAGCTCGGCTAACTGTTTCCCACTTCTCTTACAATGTGGGTGTGTTTTTCATTGGTGGGCCAGATGATCGAGAGGCATTGGCCTACGCCTCGCGCATGTCTGGCAACCCTGACGTGGGGATCACTGTGTTCAGGATCATCTTGCAGAATAAGTTGAAAGAAGGGAACACAAAAGAAGAGGAACTGGAGGAGATGCTGGACGAGTCATTGGTGGACGAGTTTAACATAAGGAACTTGGGGAATGATTGCGTGATTTGGAAAGATATTGAGGTGGATGACAGTGTACAGATCATGGATGCCATTAGGAACTCGCAAGGGGATTATGACCTTGTGTTGGTCGGGCGGCGGCACTCTGAGATGTCGTTGAGGGATGAGGAAATGGCAGAATTTGTGCAGAATGCCGAATTGGGAGTGGTTGGTGACATGCTCGCCTCTGCGGATTTCTGCGGTGGAATGGTGAATGTGTTGGTTTTGCAAGAAAACGTGGAGTTGGGCAATGGAGCTTTTCGTGCCAACTCTGCAAAAAGGTCGGCAAAGTGGACTAAAGTTTCAGGGTAATTACCAAATTTTTTGGCAATGTGTATGGCAGAAGGTAGACAGAGGAGGAATGACTCATGGTTGGCTACTTTTCTCCTTTCGCCTAGTTTTACTGTTAATAAATTTTGTGCAAAACCAAATATGCAAAGAGTTACTAGTTTTTTAAAGTCAATGAGAATTACTAGTTTGATACGTGTTCCCTTTGTGATTAAATGGCAAATTTTCAATGACAATATTCAGCCTTCAAACTCTTGTAATGTTTTTGCATATTTAATGAAGGGAGTTTGCCTTGACCACCAAGAAAAAAGAAGCTTGGCTTGTATGTATCGAGCTTCAACAAACTCCAGCTCATAAATGACTGAATTCTAATTACTTTAAGTTGAAATCAGCTATATATGACTTGGCCAGCTTCATCCCCTCATCAGACTTTTAGCTATCTGTCCTTCATGTAGTTAGTTGCTTTCTCATTATCTTGTACCAATGTGGTGATGATTATACCCTTTACAATGAGTAATTTTTGGGTGTTCCGGGTACACCACGTGGCTAGTGTACCATCCAATAGACGAAAGACATATGGAATATTTGCAATGCAGCTCGCCACATGTTATAAAAAGAAATGCAGTAAGTTAGACAATAATTCCACATGCTCTATGTTTATTGGATGGTACACCAACCACGTGGTGTACCCGGAACATATAAAAATTTCTCCTTTACAACGCCTCTTTCCCGCAAAGGGGGGCGTAACACAAGATCGCTTGAATTACCTTGCCTTCTTATTTTACTATAACAACTCATGCTTTGCTCATAGTTCCATACATATATAATGTACCTTAAAAGCTTCTGAAATCGATTTCAAACCTGTAGTGGCCGGTGACGGGGATGGTTCTCCTACCAATAATATTGAATTTTTACTTTCAATCTACTGCTCGAAAAATTCATAGGGTAGGGGGGTTGAGGTGACTACCAAAACCATGGATGTGCTCAAGTTGGGAGGGACAGAAATGATAAATAGAACCCAAACTATCCTGGCCATTCGAAGAACGGTTTGTGTTCCAGTTCAGCGCATTGATTCCGAAGGCATTTGGTTAAAAGACAATCCTTTAGATTTTCCATATCCTCTAATGTTGTTCCAAATCATCCTTCTTGTTCTCATCTCCCGAGCGCTTTATTGTTTGCTAAGACCTTTGGGACAAACCAAATTTGTCTGCAATCTCCTGGTATGCTTCTTCGAATTTTTCTAATTCTTTGGTATCAAATGTTCACTTTAATCAGTTATTTGAACCTTCCCTTCTTTTTATTGCTTGTTTTTCTTTAGGGTGGCATCATCTTGGGGCCTTCCTTGTTAGGGCACAACAAGGCATTAAGGGACAAACTGATGTTCGGAGGAAAAGAGGTTGGATTGTCAGACACTATTGCTCGTGTCGGCGTAATATACTCGGTATTCTTAATTTCAGTGAAATATGACATGGCGACGTTCAAAATGAAGGCGAAGAATGGTTGGAAGATTTGTTTGGTGGGATTTCTCTTTCCATCCGCAGTCACCTCAAGCTTGGTTTACACGAACGCCACCACCATTTCCTGGCCCAGTGGAGGAACATTCTTCCTTTTAGCTCTTACATTTTCTTTATCTTTCACATATTTCCCTGTCGTAGCTGAGGCCTTGGATGAGCTCAACCTCATGACTTCTGAGTTGGGCCAACTTGCCATGTCATCTGCCACCATCAACGACATAATCCTATGGATCTTCACGGTGGTGCATCTCATAGTTATTCAACGAAGTATAAACGGCGGAGCTAAGACTTTGGTTAGCTTATTGGCATTGATATTATTCACTGTTTTTGTCATACAGCCGATTATAAAATGGATCGTCAAGAGAACACCAGAAGGACAAGAAGTAAAGGACGGCTATGTGAGTGCAATGCAAGTTATGCCTCTTGTCATGGCCTTTCTCTCTGACATCATAGGCATGAGGCCTGAAGCTGGGCCTATCCTTTTGGGGTTAGTCGTTCCAAATGGACCGCCTCTTGGTGCAGCACTAGTACAAAAGACTGAATTCGTGGTCTCCGATAATTTTCTGCCCTTGTTCTTTTTCCGGGTTGGCTTGACAGTAAACGTCTATTCTGTGGACGATTGGTCGAGTTTTAGAAAACTTCAGCTTATGCTTACCATGTCGTATGTTGCGAAGATTATCGCAGTTACGGTGATTGCGTTGTGCTGCAAAATTAGATTAAGAAATGCTTTCTTGCTCAGCATGATGATGAGTATGAAGGGCCTAATAGAGCTTATCGTTTACGATGCATGGAAGGCTGTTAAGGTAAGAAACAGAGAGAAACACTCTTTAATTCCTAGTTCTTTTTTGTTTTTCGTTTTCCATATAACAACAATGAATTAATTTGTGTTCCAAATTTTAATCAAATGCAGGACATAGATGAGCAATTTTTCACTCATATCGTGTTGTCTGCTCTTGTGATGACCATGATCGCATCGCCGTTGGTACGGTTTTTTTACACCCCTCCCAGAGCATCGGAAACCATACTTTCCCGAATCAGAAACATCCAATCAATGCTAAGCAACTCAGACATGTTCCGCATTCTTTGTTGCTTCCACAACGAAGAGAGTATCCCCAACATCATCTCCCTCCTCGAAGCCTCAAACCCGACACCATCAAGCCCCATTTACGCCTACGTTGTCCACGCAGTCGAGCTGGTTGGCCGCGCTGTACCCCGACTAGTCCCCTTTAACACTGAAAAACAGAAGAAAAAATACACCCGCAAAAACTCAGCCACCCGTCAAATGGTTCGAGCATTCGATAACTACTTGAAAATCTCCAGCGGGCCGGTCATAATCCAAGCATACACTATGATCGCGCCGTATAAATTTATGCACGAGAGCCTTTTTCGCCTGGCTGATGACAAGTTTGTGCCTCTGGTCATCATACCATTTCATGAAAACCATCCAGGCGTTGTTGGACCAAGTATGGTCGCAGCGATACGACACTTCAACGCAAATGTGCAATTATATTCCCAGTGTACGGTCGGGATCCTAGTCGACAGAGGCATGTCTTGTCCGCTGAGCTCAGTCCACTTCTCTTGCAATGTAGCTCTATTTTTTATTGGGGGGAGCAGACGACCGCGAGGCGTTAGCCTTCACGGCACGCATGTCTGGCAATCCAAATGTCGGCATGACGGTGTTCAGGATAGCTTTGAGGAGTAAATTGAAAGAACGGAATGAGGAGGAGCAGGTGGCTGCAAAGCTGGACGAGTCGTTGGTGGATGAGTTCAGGCTAAGGAACATTGGGAATGACCGGTTGGACTGGCGGGAGATCGAGGTGGACGACAGCGTGCAGCTTATGGATGCGGTTATGAACTCGCAGGGGAGTTATGATCTTGTTATTGTGGGGCGGCGGCATGCGGATACGACGTTGAGGGACGAGGAAATGTCGGAGTTTGTGGAGAATGCAGAGCTGGGAGTGATTGGTGACATTGTTGCTTCCTCGGATTTTTGTGGCGGGCAGGTGAATGTGTTGGTGATACAAGAAAGCAGGGAATTACGATATGGAGCTTTTCGCAGTGGACTTTGAAATTTTGGCAATGCATGATGAAATCTGCGCCGGCTAACAAAATTTCGCCCAATGTGGTCGAAGGCCATCAACCATCGAACAGCGAAACGTCGACTGATTTTTGAGCAATGATTTGGTATTTGTTTAAAGATTTGGAAGATACAAGCCAAAACAGAGGAACAACTGTTGATGAGCAGAACAGAGTAACTTGGTTGAACATTTTCTGATACAAAATGTGATGATGGGAGTGGTGACTAGTCAGTTTAGTTAGAAAACTTTAGGAGTTAGATTTTGTTGCCATGAAGGCCAGAATTTTCTTGTAAACAATGACACTTTTGGCTTTTATAAGTTGTAGCTTATTTTCCTCCTTTTTACTAGGGATGGCAATAGGTCGAATCGGGGGTGGGTATGCCATTTCCATCCCCATTTCTGTTAAGCTTTTTTCCCCCATTCCTGCATTCGTACCTGCAATATTGGGGATTCCCCATCCCCACTTTCGTTGGGGAATGGGTTCCTCGACCCGCCTCATTACGGAAGAAAAAACCAATATGTAACTACTTTGTTGAAAAAAAAAGGTACTAAGGCAAGATAATGTATATATATATATATAAGACAATATAAGAATGTTTATATATGTAGTGGAAGTCAACTAAATAAATAAGTAGTGTGGTGTATAAATTATATAAGTATATAATATAATAATATAAAATATAAACTTAGTTGGTACAATCACTTTAATAGCATATTTATATATACTATAATATATATACCTCATCAAACATAATTTCGTTTCATTGATAATAATTAAAGTGCTTCACAAATAATATGATGAGCCTTAACACACTCCAACATGGATGACTAATTTCTAACTATAAATTGAAATCCGTTGGAACAGCATAACTAATTTCTTTATTATTATTATTATTATTACAAATTTTATGTCTGTAGTGTTTGACTTTAGCCAACTCCTGTACGTATTTCGTTGGTTCCTACCAAAGAAATTGACAACTAACATAACGACTCTTACAGCAAAAGGGAGGGCGCCATAAAAAACTCAAAATTACCTGTTGTCCTGGTATATGTATTTCACTTGAAACAGCTCATATGCTTCTCAACTTAAACCTCAGTTATTAACACTGAGTTTTACTTCAAATTACAACCAACCAAGAACCAACCTTAGGTTTCAAAGTTTTTGCAAAATCTCAATCTCAAGCGATCATTTGGGAATTTGGGAAATGGCTGCCTTAAGCAACAACACACAAGTTGATGTAGTGGAACCGCAGCATTGCATGCTAGTTCATGCCTCCTCCTCCAGAGGCATTTGGTTCGGAGAGAATCCTTTCGACGATCCCTATCCTCTAATGCTAGCCTAAATCATCCTGGTTGTTCTTACTTCCCGGCTGCTTTATTTTTTGCTCAGGCTATTGGGACAAACCAAATTCGTCTGCAATCTCCTGGTATGCTCACCCAAATGCTCATCATGCTTGTTGCTGAAAGTTTTTATTTCCTAATTCAACAATAAGATTATAATTAAAAAAACTAGGGTCATGTTCCTCAAGTTTACTAATTAAGTTTGTGACATGACATTATTATCTTTTTGGTTGAAATGTTCTTCAGAGTGGCATTATCTTGGGGTCCTCTGTTCTTGGGGGCGGCAAGGCATTCAAGGACAGACTATTCGCAGCTAAAGTGATTCCATCGTTTGACACAATGGCCGCTGTTGGTGCAATATACTCCATGTTCCTTGTTGCATTGAAATTTGACTCGGGCCAGCTCCTGCAGGAACATTCTATCTCACTATTACCTTTTCTTTAACTTTTTTTCCTGTGGTAGCTCAGGCCATGGATGAACTCAACCTTATGACCTCTGAGTTGGGCCAATTTGCCATGTCCTCTGCCATCCTCAACGATGTGATCCTCTGGTTCCTCATTGCATTGCATCTCATATTCACGAATCCAGACGCAACCTATCGCGTTGAGAGTTTTATTTCCGTCTTTGGGTTGATATTATTCACTATCTACGTCATACGCCCAATTATGCTGTCGATTGTCAAGAACATCCCCCAAGGACAAGAAGCCAAGGAAGTTCATGTAGTTGCAATACAACTTGGGGTTCTAGTCATGGCTTTTATCTCCGATGCCTTAGGCACAGCGCCGTACACTGGTGTTGTACTTCTGGGGCTAGCCATACCCGGTGGACCACCTCTTGGTGCAGCAGTTGTCCACAAGACCGAATATTTGGTCTCCCAACTTCTTATGCCAATGTTCTTTTTCTACGTTGGATACAGAATAAATTTGTATTCGATTCACGATTGGATGAGATTTTCCATACTTCAGACGATCATTATCATGTCGTACGTTTCAAAGATTGTGGCAGTTGTAGCGGCTGCAATGTGGTGCAAAATCGGGTTTAAAAATGGTCTAAGGCTCAGCATGGCCATGAGCGTCAAGGGTATAATAGAGATTATCTCTTATTCTCGATGGAGGACCGTAAAGGTAAATAAAACTCTTTCCCTTTTTCTTTCACTTCCAAAATATCCCACCCCATAAAATATATGTTAATTTTGATTCCAAGTTAATATTTCAATGGCAGCTCATAGATGAACAAGCTTTTACTCAAATAGTGTTGTCTATGCTGGGGATGACCATGATTGCAACACCATTGCTACGATTCTCATACAGCCCTAAAATCCGACTCGGAGCATCAACCAAACGTCCCCGCTTCAGAAGCATCCAATCAATGCCAAGCAACTTCGAAACATTTCGCATTCTTTGTTGCTTTCACAACCAAGAAAGCATCCGCAACCTTATTACCCTCCTGGAAGCCTCATACCCGACGCAAGCAAGCCCCATCTGCGCCTACGTGGTCCATGCAGTGGAGCTGATGGGGCGTGCGGCGCCACTACTAGTCCCTCACAATAAATTAAAGCGCAAAAATACACCGACCCATCAAATGATTCAAGCCTTTGAGAATTACTCAGACAACTCCGAAGGACCGGTCACGATCCACGCTTACGATATGATCGCTCCTTACAAAAGCATGCACGACACAATAATCCGTCTTGCAGAAGACAAGGTCGTTCCTCTGATTATCTTACCATTCCATGATCACCAGGGTATGGTTGACCTCACTTTGATTGCCTCCATACGCCAATTCAACATCAATGTGCAAACAAATTCCCCATGTACAGTGGGAATACTTGTTGATAGAGAATTGTCTAGTCGGCTGAGATTGACAAGCTCTTCCTCCAATGTAGCGGGGATTTTCATTGGTGGAGCAGATGACCGTGAGGTGTTGGCATACGCAGCAAGAATATCTGGCAATCCGACCGTGGGTATGACGGTGTTCAGGATAATCTTGCGGGGTAAACTAGGAGGAGGTAACCAAGAGGAGGAAATAGAGGCCAAGCTCGACCAGTCTTTGGTCGACGAGTTTAAGCTGGGGAACATCGGGAATGATTGTGTGAATTGGTATGATATCGAGGTGGATGACGGTGCACAAGTTATGAATGCCATTAAGAAGTTGCAGGGCGATTATGATCTTGTCATGGTAGGGCGACGGCACGTGGAGATGTCGCTGAGGGATGAAGAAATGGCGGTATTCATGGAGCATCCAGAGCTGGGAGTGATTGGTGACATGCTGTCTTCTTTAGATTTCTGTGATGGGATGGTGAATGTGTTGGTCATGCAAGAAAGCGGAGGCTTAGGCTGTGGAGCTTTTCGTAGTGACTCTGCAAGGGTTTCATAGAATATATATTTCTCTACTATAAAATGTTAAAAGGAGAATGACTTACAAGGGAGTTCCTTGCTTCCTAGTGAGAAGCAAACAAGTAGCTTTGGTTAGCTAGAAGTAAACACTATATATATCTCCTTCACTCTAGTTTCTTATTTTGTTAAAAGAATTTCCTAGTTAGAAGATCGTGAACATTGGAAGTTAGAAATATTTGCCTTTTGGGTCTCTTTTTTGGGGTAAATAATGTCTAGGGTTTTGCTTGTAACTTAGCTTGTTTGGTTGTTTTGCTTGTAACTTAGCTTGTTTATTTGTTTTCCTTTACCTGGTTAATATTGTACCAAGCCGAAAGTTTGCTGATTTTTGAGCAATGATTTGGTTTTTGTTCAAAGATTTGGAATATATATACAAGCCAGAGGAACAACTGTAACTTGGTGGAACATTTTCTGATACAAAATGTTTGAGGATTTTAGTTTTGTTATATATATGAGCAAGGAAAGAATCGTTTATGAAAAACGGTATATGGAGAAGAGAAAGAGCAGAGGGAATAAGGAATGTTCAGTATATTTCTCTTGATGCAAATGAGCACAAACACACACTCAAATACATGATACATACTGCCAAAATAGCTCAGAGCCTAAATTTTAGGTAGCAAGGACTCATCTCCAGCCATACATAATCATTGGAGGCTACGATCCTTACACCTAGGCTAGAATTGGTTTCAAGGTACAGCTGAAAAAGATAGGAATTTTCCCAAAAAGGAAATAAAACTAGCTGTTAGACAGCTAAGCTAACAGCTAATACTAAAACTAGGAAGTTCCCAAGTTCTTCGATTTCTTCATTCTCTTCATTATCAATCTGCAGGATTGTCATCTGCAGCTTGATTTAAGCTTAGTATGCAGCTTAATTCTCAACAGCATACATTTACTAATTAAGCATTAGATCTTTATAGCCCTTGTACTTATCACGTTACCCTTAATTCAATGATAATCAATATGCTAAAATACAACCAAAGAGCAAGAACACTAGAATCCAACAGGAAGAATGAGAAAACCTCAAATGTATTCAATTATGAAAATAGGAATAACAACCCTAAAATCCTACCCAAAGTTTGCTTAAATACTTCCTCAAGTTCCTAGAAACCCTAGGGACCCAAAAAGGAATTAAAAGGGGAAATAATAAAAATTCCAAAAACTAGTTAAAATAATCAAACACCCAAAAGAGCCCATACAACATGGAAAAACGATGAGTTTTACTCGTGACATCGTTCTCTTTGAAACGACAATTCATGGGCTCAATTCCGAGCTCGGGGTCCAAATCTGCAGCTTTCTAGTTTTGTCTTTGCACGCACGACGCTCCAATTTTTCCTCAATTGCTTCCGCCATATGTTGTACATCATTGGAAGTTAGATTTTGTTGCCATGAAGGCCAGAATATTCTTGTAAACAATGACACTTGGGTTTTATAAGTTGTAGCTTGTTTTCCTCTTTTTCACCTGCAGTCAAATTTACCCAATTGTGTTTGGTATTAATATCTGATATTCCAAAGTTGAACTTGAAAATTTCGGTCAGTTTTTTTTTATAGTTTTAGAGGAGTTGAGGAAGCATTTGTGAACGGGTAATCTCTTACAAAATGAAATGAATCCAGTTATATAGAGAAGCTGGTTCCGTCAACGAAATTTGATGCTTGGCACTTTTGTAATTTCTTGAGTATTATCTCTAACTATAAATTGAAATCCGTTGTAACAGCATAACCAATTTATTTATTTGTTTGAAACTTTATGTTGAAGTGTTTGACTTTAGCCAACCCCGGTATTTTTGTTGGTTGCTTGCTACGAAAGAAATTGACAACAACCATACCGCTCTCTATAACGACTCTGACAGATCAAAAGGTACGTAGGGCGCCATAACCACCAAAAATCACTCAAATTTTTCCAAGAGTTTTTGGAATGATCATGTGGGTTTCGTATTCATATATAGCCTGGCAATTTCAAGCAATCAATTAGGAATTTGGGACGGGGGAGGGACGAAAGAAATCAATGGCGTCCTTGAACAACAACACACAAGTTGATGTAGTGGAAGAGCAGCATTGCGTGCGATTTCCGGCAGCCTCCAGCAGAGGCATTTGGTTCGGAGAGAATCCGTTGGACGATACCCATTCTCTAATGCTGGCCCAAATCATCCTAGTCGTTGTTACTTACCAGCTTCTTTATTTTGTGCTCAGGCCATTGGGACAAACCAAATTCGTCTGCAATCTCCTGGTACTAATTAATTCAGTTTGTGACATTATTATTAATTATTCTTTTCTTTTTGGTTGAAACTTAAATATAATATGTTTTTCAGAGTGGCATTATCTTGGGGTCGTCTGCTCTTGGGGGCACCAAGGGATTCAAGGACAGACTATTCGCAGCCAAAGTGATCCCGCTGTTCGACTCAATGGCCAGTGTTGGTGCAATATACGCCTTATTCCTTGCTACATTGAAATTCGACGCACTCCGCTTCAAAAGAACGTCGAAGAAAGATACCGTGAAAATTGGTCTGGTCTGCTGCATCTTACCTTCCGCAGTCACCTCAACCCTCCTTTTCCTGCTAGGCGGCCCCGGCACCATTCCTGGAATCGGCAAGGGAGCTGCTGCAGGAGCAATATATATCACTAGTTTCTTTTCTTTAACTTTTTTTCACGGGTTAGCTCAGGCCTTGGATGACCTCAACCTTATGACCTCTGAGTTGGGCCAATTTGCCATGTCCTCCTCCCTCCTCAACGATGTGATCTACTGGATCGAAATTACATTCTATTTCTTATTCGCGCGAGCACGCGCAGGCCATGGCATTCAGAGTTTTATGTCCTTGCTTGGGTTGATATTATTCACTTTCTACGTCATACGCCCAACTATAATGTGGATTATCAACAACATCCCCCAAGGACAAGAAGCCAAGGAAGTTCATGTAGTTGCAATACAACTTGGGGTTCTAGTTCTGGCATTTATCTCCGACGCCTTAGGCCTGGCGATGGACACAGGTCCTATACTTCTTGGGGCAGCCATACCAGGGGGACCACCTCTTGGTGCAGCACTAGTCCACAAGACCGAATATTTGGTCTCCCAATTTCTTATGCCAATCTTCTTTTACCGCATTGGATACAGACTAAATGTGTTTTCGATTCGCGATTGGACGAGTTTTTCCACACTTCAGTCAATCATTGTCGTGTCGTATGTTTCAAAGATTGTGACAGTTGTAGCGGCCGCAATGTGGTGCAAAATCGGGTTTAAAAATAGTCTAAAGCTCAGCATAGCCATGAGCATCAAGGGTATAATAGACGTTCTTATTTATTCTCGATGGAGGGCCACAAAGGTAAATAAAACTCTTTAATTCCCTTTTTCTTTCACTTCCATATAATATATCCCACCATACAACATATATATATATATATATATTAATTTTGATTCTAAGTTAATATTTCAATCGCAGCTCGTAGATGAACAAGCTTTTACTCAAATCGTGTTGTCTATGCTGGGGGTGACCCTGGTCGCGACACCATTGCTACAGTTATCATACAACCCTAAAATCCCACTCCGATCAGCATCAACCAAACATCCGGGTTTCAAAAGCATCCAGTCAATGCCAACCAACTCTGAAACATTTCGCATTCTTTGTTGCTTTCACAACCAAGAAAGCATCCACAACCTGATTAACCTCCTGGAAGCCTCATACCCGACGCAAGCAAGCCCCATCATCACCTACATGGTCCACACAGTCGAGCTGATGGGGCGTGCCGCGCCTCTACTAATTCCTTACAAGAGATTAGAGTGCAGAAATGCATCATCAAGCACAAATGAATCATCATCAATCCATCAAATGATGCGAGCCTTTGAGAATTACTCAGAAAACTCCAGAGGACCGGTCACGATCCATGTTTACAATATGATCGCTTCCTACAAAAGCATGCATGACACTATTCTCCGTCTTGCGCATGACAAGGTTGTACCTCTTATTATCTTACCATTCCATGATCACCGGGGTACGGTTGACCACAATTTGATTGCTCCCATACGCCAATTCAACATCAATGTGCAAACAAATTCCCCATGTACAGTGGGAATACTTGTTGACCGAGGCTTGGCTTGTCAGCTGAGCTCGACATACTATTCCTTCAATGTAGTGGTGATTTTCATTGGTGGAGCAGACGACCGTGAGGCGTTGGCCTACGCAGCACGGATGTCTGGCAATCCTGACGTGGGAATGACAGTTTTGCGGATAATCTTGCGGAGTAAACTAGAAGGAGGTAGCCAAGAGCAGGAAATAGAGGCCAAGCTAGACCAGTCTTTGATCGACGAGTTTAAGCTGGCGAACACCGGGGATGAGTGCCTGAATTGGCATGATATCGAGGTGGATGACAGTGCACAAGCTATGAGTGCCATTAAGAAGTTGCAAGGTAATTATGACCTTGTCATGGTAGGGCGGCGACACGTGGAGATGTTGTTGAGGGATGAAGAAATGGAGGAATTCGTGGAGCATCCAGAGCTGGGAGTGATTGGTGACATGCTTGCTTCTTCAGATTTCTGGGATGGAATGGTGAATGTGTTGGTCATGCAAGAAAGCAGGGGATTAGGCTATGGAGCTTTTCATAGTGACTCTGCAAAGTTTTCAGAGAATATATATGAATGACATGCTGAATTCAAAGTTAACTCACCATTGATGCGTGGAAGGAAGAAGGTGATGTGAAAATTAGGTGTAGGGATTCCTAAAATCCCAAGAGGCTATGAGAGAATAAACTATCTACCATATACACATCAAATATGAAATCAAATGAAGCGGAAGCAAGGAAATAGCTAGAGGTTCATGCATGTCTCATCTTAGGTCCCAATCTTTATAGGTTTATGAAAGTATATGCACCTATGACACTCACTATCAAATATTAGAGAGAGGGTAGAGAGTGAGCTTACCCTTGGAGCGAATCTTGAATCCAAGAATGGAATTCAAGTAGAGGGAATAGTCCGTTTGTTGTTGATTCTCCACTTTG